GTGAGGTTTCACTTCACTTCTCAGAACCAGAAGGGAAGACGGTATTTCCACATGAGCACACCGAGGCTGAGAGTAAGGGAGTGCTATGGCAGAACCGCCCAGGGCTTGATGGCCCCAGGAGCCCTCCAGGCAATGCCCTCACCAGGGCAACTCAGCGTGCAAGTTCTGAATGTTCATAGTGGAGGCTCTGCCTTCCTCACAAAATTTCCTTCCGTATTATAGGAAAACAAGAAAGCCAATCTGTCCCCTTCAAGGTACCAACAGAAAGGAGGTCTAACTTCTCATGGCAAGATATCATTGGCTTTGAACCCCACTGCTAAATGGGTGTTGCTGCCCTTGATCCATTTCAGTGAATCACAGACTCCCGTGTCTCGGGATGATGGGGGGACAAGAGGCGCATGTCAACCCCACAAAAATCCAGGACCCACCCCATGAGAATCAGATTCAACCCAAACAGGGTGGGACTCAATAGCCCGCATGTTTAATAGGTCCCCAGATAGGAAACCCAGGGGTCTGAGCACCATTCCTGTTGGGCCCTGCCCATGACCTGCAAATGAAAGCCACGTGACTTCCCCAGCACCCCACCCTATCCCACCTCGATCCGTACTTGGACCGGGAAAAGGAACACGACACAGGTGCAGTCCTTCGTGTGTCTCCTTAAAAGTGAGGGAAACCCTCGGAAGCTAGAAGCCCCTCACATCCCTTTCAAGCCACATTCCTGGGCCATTTCTCACCCATCGCTGGCTGGAGGTAGAGCTCCGGCAAATGGCTCACACCCATCACAATTCCCTTGCTGGAACTGGGGCCAGGTGGGGATTTCCTGAAGCAGAAGCACAAGCCTCTGAATACCAGAACCAAAGTGAAGTTCTGTTCTCAAGCAAGAAAGGGGAGAATCAGCAACCAACTGTGTCTCTCACAAAGAATAATTATACTTAAAAGATTCAGTGAAGGGGTCCTGCAGAATCCCCCAAGCAGTCCCCCTAGCCATGCCAGCTTTCAAGCAGAAGTGGAGAAATAGTCTCTTAGGAGTCTCTTAAAACTGGTCTCCCCATCCCCAAGAAACAATTTAAAAAACCCAGAATTCAGAGCAATCTGTCACAAACCCAAAAGAGTATGTGATGGGAGATTTCTGGAGGATAGAGGGCAGCTGTTGGCCCTAGTTAGCCATTCTGTTACCTGAAAGGTTATGCGGCAGCACCCAGAGACGAGACCGGGAACGGAGAGGTTCGGGCCAGATTTATTCAAAGCCGACAGAGACCCACCTGGGCAGGGCAAAGATGGCACCTGCACTGAGGGTAGGTGGAGGCCTCTTTTGAAGTAGATAGATTCCACTACCTGTTGGAGGAATCTGGTGGGCTAGAGTCCTTCTGGCGGGAATCTTTGGGGTAGGGCTAGTCAGGCCTTTTGTATTGGGGGGAGGAGAGAAAGGTTTGTGTGGAGCCGCACTGGGCCTCCAACATTTCAAGAATCCCCTGGTTCCATGCCTCCCATGGCCTGGGGAAGATGCTGCTACACAGCTGGCAGATGTGCTCATAAAAGGTCTTATCTCGTCTTCCACCCAGCCATCCAGCCATCCATACATCCACCCACTTATTCAGTGACGTTCCCTGGGACCTTCTCTGTGTGCGCTGAGATAGGCAACTGGGATTCAGGAGGGTGAACAAGACAGAGAAGACTCCTGCTCTCAAGCAGGTGGCGTTGCAGTGGAAGGAGACAGACAGTAAAGTGCGCAACCTGCAAATAAGTTGGTTTGGGCTGGTGCCAGGTCTCAGAAGGAGATAAGCAGGGGAAGGTGAAAGCCCGGCAGGTGGGGGTGGGCTAGGGAGGGCCTTTGTGGGATGGGTGCAAGTTGGGGCAAGACAAGAAGGACGAGGAAATCTGGGGATGATGTTCCAGAAGGACAGCAAGTGGAGAGGATTTGGGCAGGAGGGGGCTTGGGGAGCATAGAGGAGGCCCTTGTGGCTGGAGGTCCCTAGAAGCAGGAGGAGGGACTGGTGTCCCCAGAGTTGTGAGGGCTGCCCGGGGCCGTGCCAGCTGTGCACACTTCCCACCTCTGTAGCTGATATTCCAGTCGGGGGAATGGGGACAAGGCTGGGATGGGGGGTGGGGACCTGGGTCAAGAACAAACCTCAGTGTTGCTCACATGATTAATTAACTGGCCCCAGAGCTCCAAGGCACAGTGCTAAAAATACCTGCTTCCCTCTGAGATGTGGCAGCTGCCACCCTGCAACTTTTACCCATGCCATTTGTCATAATTTGACACTGCTAAGGAGTGTCCACAGGGCTGTGTGGTTGCTGGAATGGGACTCACCCACAGCCCACCCACCAGCTGGGCCTCGGAAACTGCCCCTGACGCTTTCCCACCTTAAACCACCTCCCATCCCTGACCCACCTGCTCCCCTGCCCCTGCCACAGGCTCAGGGCTCCTCCTGGAACTGAGCAGATGCCTCCAGAGGCGTGAGCCAAGGCACTCTGGAGAGCAGGAGGGCATCGGTGGGTGCCACGTTTCACACCACCGCAACTCTACACCTCGGATCAGAGCCATCTATCAGAGGACCTGCCAGCCCGGAGCGACACTTTAATTAAAATATGTAAAACATCCTGGTGGGATTGGATCTGAAGACACAGGAGCAGGCCTTGGACACAAGTTGGCCTTTCTCCAGCCTGGGAGAGCCAGGACTTCACTAGAAGGGCCCTCTGAAGCAGTCTGGAGGAATGGTGATGTTTGCTACCCACCATGCCCCCACTTACACAGAACTAGCACAGAACTTAGCCCAGCAAGGACATCTGCATGAAAGAGAGTCCTCGAGTCCCCCAGTCCTTGGGCCAGCAGGGTGACCCCAGTTGCACTCTGGGAAGCTCTTGGCATCAGGCCCATTGCCAATGTTGGGGGTCAGAATGTTGATTACCCCATCCTCAGCACTAATTTTATTTAATGGCCCGTTGTGACGCTGATACTTGGACATTTACATAAACTCTTTAGCAAAGCCATTTCCATTTCCCAGACTGATCAGCTTCCCAAGTGGACTCTTTGTTCAGACTTTGCTTTCCATGTTGACGGGAAGAGTGGTAGAGGCAGAGCTGTTTAGGGCAGGGATGAGCAAACTTTTTCGTAGCCAAGTTTGTATAAAACCAGAACAACTTATTTCTAGGCCAAATTTTTTAGTCCAACTTTTTTTTAAAAAATCAGGAAATGGAATATTTGCAAATTGTTTTAAGCATCCTTTGAATTTCTTTTTCCCCAGCGCTGAAGACGTTCATGATTTTTTTTGTTTGTTTTTGTTTTTGTTTTTGGCCAGGGCTGGGCTTGAACCCACCACCTCTAGCATATGGAGCCGGCGCCCTGCCCTTGAACCACAGGCACCACCCAACGTTCATGATTTTTACTGAAATGTTAAAACCTGCGCAAATATCATGTGCTATGGTCTCACTCCGGACTTCGGGCCTGTGACACACTTCCAGCCCAGTGATGTAGACTATGGGGAGTGTTGAGGGATTTGGGGCTGGGGAGGCAAATTGAACCCAGTCAGAGACCAAGGGCAAGAAAGGAGCCCTGTTAGGAGATCCTGGTCCTGGGAGATCAAAGGGTGAGGGTATCACTTGAAAGCAAATCTCACACACAACGGCAGGAGGGGCGATGGGTGTGTGTTACATGGATGGCTGCTTCTCCCTCCCAGCCCCAGCCTGCCCAGAACAGGGTGGGGAGAGATGCCCACAGGCTTCAAAATAACCCATGTGGAGATGAGCTTCTGCTCTTGTCAGCCTTACCCCTCCAACCAGGGACAACTTCCTCAGGGCAGAGCCACAGCCACTGTCTGCATGTCGGGGTGTCAGGCTGAATTATGTGAGCTTAAAAACCAAATCCCCTCCTTCCCGGGTTACTTAACTGTCTGCCTGGCGAGGCTGGGAGATTACTGGTGACAGACACCAGGGCCTGCCTGGCTGCTCCAGACAGAGAAGCTTTGATCACCTGGAAAACTCCAGACACTAGGACTCCTAAGGATGAGTAATGAGCTCAAACCATCGGAAAGTTACCGTGCATTGGGGACATGCACTGCTCCCACAGATGCCTGCAAGGATGGCCCCGGGAGCGGGGACACAATCTTCTAGAGTCCTGGGAGGAGTCTGACCCTATACCCACCCCACCAGACCACCCAGAGCCCTGCTGGCCCCCTGGGGATGTGGGGACCTTTCTATGCTCTGGGCATTTGGCTGTTACAGGGTTGGCTTGGGGTGCAGTGGCCAGAATTTATCTTTATATTTAAGAATACAGCCTCCTGTATCCTGAATACACCATTCATTCATTCATTCACGTATATGTTCAACACACATTTATCCAATGACTGAGATAAGACAGAGAGGGTGATGGATGCTCAGGACAGAAAACAGCTCACCTTGGGCTCTGTCCTCAGGGGACTTGCAATCTTCTGGGGAGACAGTACGGAAATTCCGGCACCACAGGTTCTTTGATAAGGGGCCTGACACGGTTGGCTGCAGGGTATTGAGATTGTCCAGAGTGGGGAGACTCTAAGTCACACCGCCCCTTCTGGCAGGGGGACGAGAAACAGGCTGGGATGGAATTCACAGATCCCAGGTCCCTCTAGGCTTGGGTTGCATTCGACCGTGTGAGGGTCCCCAGTCTCAAGTTGTACCCACCTCCCTTCTGAGCTTCCCTCCTGCTCCAGGGTTAGATGGGAATGTGTCAACCTACTTTGACATACATCAGAATCACCCTGGGAGAGTGTTAAAAAGTCGTTCTTCAGGTCTGGGTTTCCTCCCCAACAGATTCTAATTCAGAAGGTCTTGGGAGCCTGGACTTAGGGTGAGCAACTATCTTGATTTGCCCCGAACCACAGAATTTTCCAAATGTAAGGCTTTCAGTTTTTTTTTTTTTGAATTTAATAACAGTTTATTTATCACTCATATTCATAGCTCAGGAACACAGGTCAGTGACAGATGTCTATGTAAATCAGCCCAAAGAAATTCTTTGTATTTCAAAATTATTTGATGCTCTGAAAGACACCAGCCTTCTTCATCTCCTCAAAATCTTTCATAGAATCATAATTTCTGTAGAAATCTGCATATGCCTTCTTTCTTGGTTCAGCCACAGCAAACTTATAGAAAACTGCAACCCCCAGGGATACAACAAATGCTCCAACAATATGAATCCGCAGGCGCCTGGCCAAGAGGCCACGCATCTGAGGTTTGGCCAAAGCACTGGAAGCCATGGTAGTTACTGTCCTTGATGGGTTCCCAACCTCAACGCGTCCTTCCCAGCTGAGGTACACACAGCTCAAGGCTTTCAGTTTTAAAATTGCACCAGTCCCAAGAAAACCAGGACAGGTTAGTCACTCAGGCTAGGGCAGTCACCACTAGTCACTGACCAGTAATGTTCTTTTCTTCCTGGGGTCATGGAATCCCAATTTTGATCCAGCAGTAACATGCTCAGGAAAGGGGAACCCCCCAGAACCCGAGGAGGTAAGCCTGGGTGCATTCAGTATTTCCATTTCCTGCTGCTGGTGGTTTGTTTAAGGCAGGCTTGTGACCCACTTCTGGCCAATGAGTTGTAAAATGAAGACTTGTGGAAAGAATACTGCATCTGAAGAGAAGAAAAGCAATGATATTTATATAGAGGGAGAGAGAGAAAGGGGGAGGGGATCACCCCTTCTACCTTGGAAGCAATTGTGGGAGATCGTAATGGCTGGAACTGCGACAGGTATTCGACAATCATAGGCAACAATCCCAAGGATGCTAATTCAGCTGTGCTGAGGATAAACAATCAGAAGGATTTTTTTTAAGTCTCCATTTTCTTATAACATCACTGAGACCCTACATAAAACCTGCAGTTATCTACCTGCAATCTAAATGATACATGGTTAAACATCTTTCTTGCCCAAACAACTACCATCTGATAGTCCACTTATTGCAGTTATGACTGTACAAGGGGCCTAGAAATCAGCATTTATAATTAGATCCCCCAAACCGTTCTGATGCCTACCATCCATCTACCATGTTTCCCCGAATATAAGACCTACCCCAAAAATAAGCCCTAGCAGGATTTCTATGCATTTGTTAAATATAAGCCCTACCCCGATAATGAGACCTAGTGATTAAATCACCCTGCATTTCTGCGCAGAGTGGTAAGGAGGACTAGAATACCTTTTATCTGCCACAGCTCCTTTCTCTGAGCCGTTGGCACGTGCACGGGTGCATGTGTGCACGCGTGGTAACTGCCGTCACAGGCATCCTATTGTGCACATGCAAACAGCTAGGGGAAAGGAGTTCACGCATCACTAGCACCAGCCCCACCAACAAGGTCAGCTCACCCTGTCAGGTTCCAGAAGAAGACTTAACTGTATTTGAATAAATGTAGATTCTTGTATTATACTTAATAAAAATAAGACATCCCCTGAAAATAAGCCATTGTGTGTCTTCTTGAGAAAAAATAAATATAAGACAGTGTCTTACTTTCAGTAAAACATGGTAGGTAATTCAGTGATTCTTAAAATGAGGTCCTCAGACCAACAGCATCAGCATCACCTGGGAACCTGTTAGAATGCACATTCTCAGCCCCACCTGGACCTTCTGAGTTGGCAATTCTGGGAGATGGGGCCAAGCAGTCTGTATTTCGACAAGCCCTCCAGATGATTCTGATGACTGGTCAATTTTAAGAATCCCTGAGTTAATCAGAGGCTGAGATGCCCTGAGTAATACCAGACCGCAAAACTTCCGGATGGAAGGTTAAAACTTAACTCGTGTCACAGCTGTTTCTTGGTATTGCTTGGAAACTAAGGCGGTGTGTCTTCTCACCTTCGTGATTTCTGAGCTGTTTTTCCCCCTTCCTCCCTAGTCTTCTCCAGGGAGGGGTCATTCTCCAGGTCATCTTGCATCAGTTGGATGCTTTGGCCAGAGTTCTGGCCTGTTGTTATTCAATAGCCTCCCGGTGGTGGGGAGGGAGGCAGTTCTTTGCAGTCAAGCCTGGCCAGGGCAGGAGGTGAACTTGGTTAACCCAGCAGCTAAGGAGGGAGAGTGAATGTCAATGCCCTGGCCCAGTAACCCGGGGTGACTGTTTATACCCTCCACATAGGCCTAACTTATCCGACATCTGCACCGCATGACAGCTGGCCTAGGAGGAGAGGGGGAGGCAGCCCCATCTTCTCTCTCCTCCCTGGGGATGCCCTGCCTTGACTGGCCTTTTATATTCCAGGCAGCCCCCTACTTCTCATCAATAATGAGTCTCTCAAAACCCCGGTAATAGTCCGAAGGCAGAGAGTGAACAATAGACTTCACCTTGCACGAGGGTTCCATTCTCAGCTTAGAAGGAAATGATAAAATCCCTAATTACACCTCCTCTTTGGAACGCTTTCTTCAACAATAATCTTCGGCATTTTCACATATGCTCTTGAATTTTGTTATTCTTCACAATTGAGCCCACTGTCAAATGGTTATTCAGCGAGCATCACATTGTGAAGAATAATTTATTAAAAACAAATAATACTAATTCCTTCCACTACTTCAGTGTTTCCCATGTGCCAGGCACAGGGGCTTTAGCTGCACTGTCCTTTTAAAGCAAAAAACCACCAGCCCAGGCTTGCCTGCCCAGGCTCATCTTTGTCCTGGGTGAACTGGATTTATCAAATAAAGCCAAAGCCACCCATATTTATCAAATAAAGCCAAAATTCTGTAAAATATTTAAACCCGTGTACCACTTCCATGATGTGGTCCACGCTTGACAATGACCCACTGGCCAGCGAATGCCTGTGTCGCTGAGAACCCATCAGCTGAGGTTCTAGACACCAAATTCAGCACGTGGGAGGCACCCAGTGGTACTGAAGTGCATTCTCAGAAAGTGAGGGCTGTGCCCAGGTTCTGCCTTGCTTCTCTCGTCAGGCTGAGTGTCTCTGGCACCCAATGCCACTGGTCTTGTGTTGGGCCATCTCTCCTCTCAGAGGGCCACACCCAGCCTCCTTTGTTTTCAATGTTTTCAACAATTAAGGCTGCTTCTAGGAGAGGGGGGAGCTCCTTGGGCAGACACACTTGACACTGTGGCTGATCTAACTCAGGATTAACATTTTCCTTGGCTAGCATCATTTGGTCATTATTATAACTGAGACCTAAACACCAAATGGTCTCTTTGGTAGCACAGTTTTGGTAAGCAGAAAAGCCAGAAAAGGCTAAGCAGAAAGAAACATTTCAGGGTGTCTTTTGGTATCTCCCTATTAAGAGGATACCATGTGGCAAGTTGGCCTGAGAGCTAAGCAAAGAAGCTGCCTAGTTTGAGGGGGTTGTGCAGCTGAGCCATGGGAGCCAAGCGGCTCTGTCCTCCCACCCCCTGAATGTCATCTGCTGTCCAGGTAGGTGTCCACCTCACACAACCCCATTTTCCTGCTGGTTTCTGTGCTGAGGGCATCTCAGCTGCTTCCTGCCAGCCACAGAAAGACTTTTTCTGCCAAAGGGTAATTCCCACCTACTCCAGACCTTGTCAACCCAGAGAATAGGGTGAAAAGATCCAGGGAAGGCTCGATCCAAGGAAGGCCTGGCCTTTAAAGCCTCCTCATCTGATTTCTGGCACTGGCACCAGAAGAGGAGGAGAGACTCATGGGTTAAGGACAACAGGTCAGCAGAGGCTTGCCAAGGCTCCAGAGGGTATTACTTTGGGGGCACTGTATTCTAGGGGCCTTTAAAAGGCTGGTCCTTGGGAGAAGTGAGAACTGTAAAATACAGCTAGGCCAAAACCCAAGAGCAGGCAAGTGAAGGGCCCAGCCCCCTCGCCCAGACACAGAGCGTCCCAGCAACAAAGCTTTCAGGAGTCAATTCGCTTCAGCAGATGCACCATTCTGTCGGAGCAGCTCCCTTTCTCCCTCCGTTCTTGCCGGGGGAGGTCAGAGTTCACATCAAATGTCATTAATCATCTTCTTGGGGGTGGGGGGGTTATTAGACAGTCCTATTAATCAGAGGCCTATCACACCCACAGCCTGGCTGGGTCGCCATTGTCCTGTTCCTCACCTATCATAGAAAGATTAGATTATCAGTGACAACTGAGACACCCTTTGAGTCACAGGAAAGCTGGAGATTGGGGTTGCTTTTATTTATTTATTTTTTTATTTATCCTCCTGATTTGAGGATGAGCTGTTTCTTGTCTTGTCACATGGCATCCTTTTCTCCAAAGAATCAGCTTTAAGAATCCAATTTGTCAAACTGGACAATAACTGGCAAATCCATTTAAAAAAAGGGGGGGGGCCTCAGTGACTTTATCGAAAAGGTAAAATAAAGCAGAAGGTTTTAAACGGGGCCTGAAAGGATTAGAAAATAAGTTGCATTTGACAACAATTAATGTCTGAAAAGCAGAGGCTTTGTGAAAAGGACCAGGCAGAGATGTGTCCAGTAGGGATCCTGGTGACCCACATAGCTGGGGTCTGTCTAGTGCCTAGACATCCATCCCCCTTCCAGAGTGGAGTCAAATTGAGTGGAAGCCTGGTGTTAAAAAGAAGGTGACATCTTCCAAGCTTCCGCCTAACTCTCCACCAACCAGTAGCCAAAGCAACATCAGCAACAAAACAAACACAACAACAACAACAAAAACCAAGGACAGGACAGCACAAAGAACACAGCTTTCCACCTCTCCCAAGTCTGTGAGAGACTCAGACACTCAAAAGCTTCCAAGCTCCCCATAATGAGGAGGCAGAAAAGGAAGGGGAGCTTTCCAGTCCCCTGAAGCACAGAGACCAGAGTGAACACCTATGTTAGCTTAGATGGGACCAGTGCCTTGGTGACACTGGAGTCCAGGGGTTACAAACACAGATGAGACCAAGAAGGAATATAAACTGGGTTAAGAGCAAACCCAAGTGGTATGGTGAGGATTGTGGCAAGACAGTGGATGGGCCTGCCCACAAAGGCAGCAACAACCCATCCCCTACTCTTTGCACTGTGGGAGGGGAAGGTTCGAATCCACCAGCTCGTCCAGGTTTCAGGAGATTCTAAAGACTTACGTTTTTATGTGAACACTCCCTATTTTAATTACTGGCAACTTAATTCAAATTCTTTTTAAAAAATCACTGTGCATACTAAAATAAAACCCAATTTGGCCTCAGGCCTGGGGTTTATGACATTAATCTAATCCACCTGCCTTCATGCAAATAAAGATCACAAAGCCCAGAGAGACTGGTAGCTACAGAGGTCACACCACTGGTTAGAAGCAGAGCCAATCAAGGCAGGAGTCTGGTTCTGATCTCCAGCCAGGCACTCTCTGCTCCAGACCTGGATATATGAATACGTAT